TTATTCTCATTCTTGTCTTTTTATATTCAGAATCTTTGCTCAGGATTTCAACAAAAAGAGAAATGTGACAATTTTCATAATTGTCATAATTCTCCATTTACCTGCTTTCTCCATTGAACTCACCATGCACTTTAACTGCTTGAGCTAGGGACTGAACCCACAACAACTTCCAGGGAATTAAACTAAATAAAATTGTTGAATGTTGATAATTATACTCTCTAAAAGTTTAAAAAAAACTTAACATTCCCTACAACTGTTTCTGCTCTTATTTAAACTTCCTTTCACTCTTATTTATTCATCAAAATATGGGATCTGTAATCAGTTTTTAGTCCTAATTGGATAATATATCCATGTTATGTAGCCCAGGACTCGAGGCCACATTTTTATGTCCATCATTGGCTTCAGAACCCTTTCTTGTTGGACAGCGTGCACCCAGTAGTAGGTGTCCTGACAAACTTCAGTCCTCAACTCTGATTGTTTATGTAAGTCTGTGAAAGGAAATCTCCAATATCTTGTTAAGTGCCACTTGATCCCAAAAGTTTTAATTTATTTATCTATTGTTTTATTCCCTTTTGGTCAAAAACAGTCACCCAGACTGATTTTGAAGACCCTATTTCACAGACCTTACTACTGGCAAAACACTTATGACTGAGATGAAATCATTTAACAACCTCTTCTCTATGAGTGTAAATATCAGAGTTGTAGTGCGCAGTGTAACACTGTTAAATATTCCTGGGAGGATCACTAGGCTACATATTGTTTTTTTTTTTTATTGCCTCAAATGATTGTAAATAGTTAAGGTATCATATCTGTACATATTTTCACACAGGTCACAAAATCAAAGATCAAATTAACAATGATTTAATAAATTCGCATCATTATATTTTCAGGTTGTTGTGAACAAGTAAGAAATATTCAAATTCTACAGAAATATGAAATGTCTACAGACCAAGTAAATATGAGAGCCAGAAAATTGATTATTTATGATGATCACCCAAAAGTTATCAAACATTTGAAGTGTAATACATTTAAACAAACATTTTGAATGCAGAGTTTTAAATCAGGCAGATCATATCTACTTGGGAGATGGTTAAAACCTAAACTTAATGTTTATTTCAACCAATCTGGCCTTAAAATAAGCTTAGTAAATATCTGTACCTTCCCCATAAGTTTAATTTTTCATGGGTTCTTTTAACATTTATTCATATTTTTACTTGTCTGTTTTATACAATGGGTCACTGCCAATAGATTTTTATTTTTATTGAATTGATTACTTTAGCATTGAATATCTTTTTGTTTCTTTTGTTGTTTTTTTTTTTCTTCATTATCTTGTCAGAAATATGGCTATTTATTTTTTTTCCCCCACATGCTTCCTGTTGAGTACTAATGCGAGTAGAAATGAAGTATCAACCGTTTATACTGTGCTTGAATCAATAAATTTTGTTTTATGAATTTGTTGCTGAACTTTCATGTTTTTTAAAAATATAAACACAAGTCAGGGATAAAAAAAAAAAAAAGAGAAATTTGTTTGCATTCATTTGCATGTCTGCAGCTTAATTTACATTTCCTGTGTTTATTGCTAACTCTATGTCAATGCAGTGTTAACCCATAAATAACACAACATTTTACTCTCTGACCAGAAATGATGCTGCCATTTGATATTAACTAGCTAAATACTTGTTCTACAAATAAAGAAAAGTTAGATTAATGAAATTTCTTTTAGGAAGATATATAAGGGAAGAGGTTATAGTTGTTCCAACGAGAGCAAAGTATATATTAAAAATAGAGAAACTGCAAACGTTTTTTGTTGTAATGTGGATTTTTTTTTCAAAAATATATATTATACTTTATTTTCCATAATGGAAATATAGAAAATAAAGCATAATATATATTCAAAAAAAAAAAATAAATCCACATTAAGTAAATGCTCTGTTTATAAAAAACATTATTAACAACATTTACTGGTCTGTGAATGTCAAATCTCATAGAAAATGTGTCCTTTGACAGGAATCAAGCCTGTATCCTACATGGAGCCGTCATATAGCCTGACGTGTTACACCATTTAGCTACAGAGGAAGTGTTCGTTAATACTTTGATTGGTTGCCAAGTTACATCAAGGCTGCACAACCGGTTCTTGAGATATTCAAAATGGCTATCCATTCAGTTTGGGATAAACCTTGTATTTTCCATTTGTATCTCATTTTTCGTGGAGGCACATTGGAGTAATGGATAGTGCCTTAGACTGAATCTGTGAGCAGAGTTCAAATTTTAGTTGAGTTGCGAAAGGTATGAATCCATCTCCCCTCCAGCTATGGGTAAATAGTAGGACAAACTGGGCTGTATAGCTTTGGTTGGCAGTCAGTCTAGGAGAAGGAAAACTGAATTCAAACTACCTGCAGCCTTATAGATCTTGAATCTTTAACTTCTAAAAGGAGGGACAGGGTAACCTCAATATCTTCAGTGCAAAAGGAACTGGCAAGCCATTGCACTAGTCTACTTTGAATGTCATCATGAACCACAATTGTGAGAGGGGTTGATGATTTCATTTTGATATAGAGGTTAATTTGGAGATACTGTGTGCATTTATGTTGGCATTTAATTCTATTCATCCCACTTGTTTCCTTTATGAAACTTTGAGATGCCACCAAACAATTTGGGGAATTTGATCATGATAAAAAAAAAAAAAAAGTCAACTTAATTTAATATTTTATTTTATTTTATTTTTTTTTTTTTTGTTTACATGTGTCTGTATTATTCTGGGATTTCATTTTATTCAAATTCCCCCAAACTTTGGAACTTTTCCTTGTAATAAGGGGAAATGTTAAATTTTTTATTTTATTTTATTTTTAAGTCATTATTTGAAGATATTTACGTTAACAAGATTATATATACTTTTTTCTCTTTTGGTGTTGGTTCACATCCTCGTCTCAGGATAGCTTTTAAAACCAACTTTATTCATTTCTAAAAGTAGCTCCTTTTTTTTTTTTTTTTTTTTTTTTTCAAAAATTTCGAGAACAGATCCGTAAATCTGACATTGTTGTTAGTTGCATTTTGATCTGCAATTATCATGATTTACCATATTTTCTTGTGCATAATATGACCCCATGTTTCTGAAGCTAAAAACAGGGAATAAATCATGACCCCTGTAGTATAGCCATCCATATGTAAATTATTTTTGAAAAGTTGTACCATTATTATCCATTAAAATCTCAATGTCGTACATATATTTCGCTAAAATATTTAATTTTTCACATTATTAAAGAATAGAAATGAACCGAATATTTAGCCATTGCATGTTTGTTCTAATTTCTGTTTCAAAACTTATTTTCAGATTTTTGAGGAAAGGTACTAACTAGACATACTCAGTAATACATTTTAAGGTGTTAATTAATCTATCATTCTTTTCTGTTTTTGATATGATTTTATTATATTTCTATATATATTGATAAACTATGAAACTAAAATATCTTTCACTAGCAGGCATGGTTGATCAGAAAAAGCATTCAATTAGAATGGAGCAAAAACAGTATCATGTTTACACATCACAGTCTGTCTACAATTACTTTAAAGGACATTCATTAAAAAACATTTTGAATTAATGCAGTTACTGAAATAGTATCTGTATTTATTCAATCGAAGTTATCTGAGGACATGAAGGGGTAAAACAGGCAACATGAAGACCCACTTCAGACCGCAATGTTTTTGGAGTTTTTGAAATTCAATTTGTCAGTGTGCTACCAGGGATGTAAAAGAGAATACATTTATAAAGCAATTGTTAAGTTTGATGAAAATTGGTTCAAAGATCAACAAAAAATAAGAAAATAATGAGTAAAAATCATTTTTTGCTATTTATGAGGGTTTTCACTATATGGATGGATTCAATTATTAAGTTAAATGACTGTTAAACAATCAATTTATTGTTGGCTACAATTGAGTGAAATTTGTATTAGATTGCTTGATAATTGAGGGAGTTTTTAGTTTAAAGTTTGTGTTGAAATTGATTTTTTTTTTTCGCAGTTTTTTGCTAAACACAGTAACATAAAAATAAAAATGAGGTATTGTTTAGCTCATCATGATGTAAGTAACCTACATACCAAGTTTGAATGAAAAAAAGTTGAATTTGTTGATTATTGATTTTTTTAAAATTATCGATATCTTTTTTTTTTTTTTTTTTTACACTAAGAACCTATCTCTTACATTGTACAATGTATGTACCAAATTTGGTCAAAATCGGTTGGATGGATCTCTAGTTAATAAGTATCACACACAGACATCCTTTATTATATATATATATATATATATATATATATATATATATAAGAATGAAGAAAAACAAGAAAATCAAAATATAAACAAAACTTATCTTATTTCCAAAGAAAAAATACTGCCAACATTGTAAACAATTGTCAACCACACCTGCCTATTGTTTTATTATCTATTGTGCAAACTAAGTGTATTTGCAAACTTGCTGTTTCAATTAAAGAGATTTTTTTAAGCTGAGTAAAAATTTCTGAAAATGTGTATTTATGATCTCCACCATTATTTGCTTTCTATTTTTGTACAAAATTTCCTGTATTATGGCACAAAAAATATGGTAATGTTCAATCTGTGTGATTAATGGAAAAACATTGGGTTAAGAGTACTAATGGAGGAGATTGTTAAAAAATATTAGCTTAAAATAATTTTTATTCATTAATTACCTTGCTGTACATGATGGCTTCAGATGTTGCAAATATAAAACTTTTTGCAAGTGTTACAATTTAATATTGAATTTGAAAACCAATTTAGTATACTGAAGCCTGTGAACAAAAAGAAAAAAAAGAAAATTTATTTTTAGATAATGCAAATCTATTAAACAACTTAGAAATATGTCTGCTTTTGTCTCTGGTTATCTATATTTGAAACACTTATATATACAACTTTGCTGTTACTGGATAACAATGTTCTCTTGTTTTCATTGTCTTTTCTCTTCCTATTGATTGTTCATATTTGGAGGAATCATGAATGTTCAGTGGGTTAATAGTCAGTTTTTACTTACTCTCTCTCTCTCACTAACAAGATGGCTACTTTTTTTTATTCTTATCTATTTAAAATTACTTTGTGTATGTATGTAAGTGTGTGTGTATTATTATTATATATATATATATATATATATATTATATTTGAGTCAGTGCACTCAGATGTTTAACTTGTTTTTATTGACAAGTTAGCTGCATTTATCAGAGCAGAATCTGAAGACCACCCCCCCTCAAAAAAAAAAAATGAAGCTAAATTGGCTAATGTTACCCATCATACAATTTTCTGGCTGGAAATAAAATGGTTTCTGCTTATCTGCTATTTTAGCCAGTATTGTTTGATTTGAAATAGATGTATGTCATGCGTTTGCCTGCTTCCTCATCTTTTGATTTATAGATCAGAAGATGCAGGAAATTCTTTCTTGTTGAAGTTTACTTCTGAAATGAGTGCCTCATTACGCAAATAAGACAACCATTTATTTCCAATGTAAAAAGCCACATAGCCAAATAAAAAAAAAAAAAATATCATTACAAGAATTTTATTGGACTTTTTTTTGTTCTGTCTCTATCGATGTTGGAAGTAATGTGCTGATTATTTGAACCAAGAAATAATTATTCAATGGTTTCTTATGCTTCCTAATTGGTCTCGGTGTTGTGGTTCTTTTGGTAAAATCATTGATGGATATGGATTTATGTCTATCATTTAGCATCTATACAATAAGTAGAATTTATTTTCTTTCTTAAAGATTCACTCTATTGTCAATACCATATCATATTGCCTTGTATACATGCATCAAATGAAAACTCATACTTTCACAGATCGATCTATTTTTTCTTTTTTCCTAATCTTGCAAACCATTGATAGTTTTAGTTGTATTTGAAAGCCCAAATATGTAACCTTGTATATAACATATATTTCATGAGAAAATTCAATCAGTGTGTCTCTAAGATAATTGTGAACCAAGCTAAAATCTAATGGCAAAAAAGTCAGTGTGGTTTGGGAAGAAAATAATGAAGGAAATTAAAAATTCTGCTTTTCAGGTTTTTGTTAATTGGTGACAGAAAAATTTTGTTAAATAACAAAAAGTGTTTTTAAAATTTAAAAGAAAAAATTGTGTCATTTTGATCTGGTATTTGATGAATCTTTTTAAAAGCCTGTTCTGTTTGCTTTTCATTCTAGCTTCAACTTTTGGAGCTGCGGACAAACAATTATGAACTTGATAGCAAATGCAAGCGCCAAGAACGTGGTAAGAATCTTCAGCCAATGTGCAATTGGCATTATTTACTCTTGACTGCTTTTATATATTTTTTTTTTTTTTTAAATTTAATTATTTTTATGCCAACAATTTCTATAAGTTTTTCTTAATCAACCTGTTTCATCTTTTTATCATCTGGCTCCATTTCAGTTCTCATAGAGACCAAAGTTTTTCTTTTTTTTTTTTTTTTTTTTTTTTTTTTATTAATATAAATTTTGTAAAATAAATCTGTTTACTATTTTGTAGCAGCAATTGTATGTTTTATATTTACCTGTATTGAAATCAAGATTTGGTTTAAATCAAATAGATTTAAATCCTGATGTTTTTTAAAGAAATCACTCATTTAAATCAATTTTACAAAAATCTTCATTGAAAGCAAAAGATGTAGAAATAAAATAATGTTTTTGTTTTCATGTAATTTCATCAAGGAAGAAAAGTGTTAAGCATATTGAATCAAATATTTATTCACCAACTGAATAATTTTTTTTTCTTAGTTTTTTTTATGACAATAAAATTTTAACCATTTTTAACAAATTTTAAAATTCAACATGCAGAGTGTTTTTTTGCATTCCTGGATTTAAATAGGAAGACTAGGTTTGCTGCTTTATTTGTATCAAGACTGTTTCTTATTTTTGAATACATCTGTACAAAGCTCATGAAAACTTATTCAGCACTAGAAGATGAGGCCACTGCTGACAAGAGTTTCTTAACCACAGAAAGCATACCACTACTCAAGACACTTTCAAATTTCAAAGTTAAAAAACAATGCACACAGGAATTGAAAAACCCAGATCTAAGTTAAAAAAAAAAAAAAAAAATTGGCAGTGTTGCTAGCAAACTACTCATAAAAAATTACAAGATTATTTATGTACAAATCAGTCATATGTAGCTGATAATCAACATGTCAATCTTATTTTAAAATGCTGTAAGAATAAAATAGTTGTATGACCTTATCTGAAAAAGAAAACCGAAAAAAACTAGACTGTAAGTTGAATGTATACGCAATCCAAAACATTACAACATGGTAAAAATTAAATATAAATTTTTTTTATTGAATAAATTGGGGAAAGTCAGCCAGAAATAACCAAAAATTGTTAATTTGGCAACCTTAAATTATCCTATCGTAATCTCTCAAGCTATTTTTATCAGCTTGGCTCTTTATTTTGCTTTCTTATGTGCAAAAATGGAAAAAAAAAAAAAATTCAACAACCCTGATTAAAATTAATCAATAAATACTAAAATGGACTGCCAAATTCTAGTAACCCATTGTAACTTAGTGAGCTTGAGTAAATGGATGGTGGAACATGGTTTAGGAGAAATAACAGAAAGACAAAATTTATTAAGAGCTACAAGAGGCCTGAAGTTGTGGAGAGCCATGATCGACTATGTCTTGAGGAGACATGGCACGTAAAGAAGAATATAATATGGAGTCGTGTTATACGTTACAGCAAGATCTTTGTTAGTGTTTCATGAATAATATTTGTGGATCAGAAGAGAACATATCTTACACCATTACAGAGCCATCACTGGCTTGTAAAAAATACCTTGCTGACAGATATGATCCATAGCCTCATGCACTCTCCTCCATACATGAACTTGACTGGGTGACAATGACAGTCTTCTGCAGTTCACTGGTCATGTATTCTGACCAAAGTGAGATCCAGTAACCGATAATGCCATGTTAATAATGGTTCTCTTGTTGGTTAACACAGTGTAAACTTTATAATGCATTGGTTGCTGGATTGAAGGAACCAGCATTGAATCAGGATAGGATCTGATGCAATATTCCACTTTCATTTGGTGGTGTTACCATCATTGTCAGTTGTATAACTTGTGGCTGTGTGCACTTTTCATGTGTCATTGATGTCTGTGTATAATTTACACATTCATGCTATATCTTTTGGTACTGTTGCCTAAGGAAAAACCTTGAGTAGTTACCACCATGAGGGATAGTACCCTGTTTCGGGGCATTCGCAATCATTCTGCAGTCAAATAGCATTAATTTATGTTTTATGGCTGCCACAGCTACACTACTTACTTACCTGTTATGTTAGATGTATATATCATCCAGCCGAGTCCATTTGTACAAGTGGGGGAGGGGAAAAACATTCAGTGTATGTAACTAACACACACACACACACACACACACACACACAGGTGCTGAAAAGGTCTTGTCCAATCAAGAAGCCAATGAGAAAAAAGAAAGTAAAGTTTAGTCATTTTATTTAGAAAGTGGACTGAGACTGATGGGTTGAGTAAATTGTGATTAAAAGCAACATTAGTGTAAGAAAAAAAGGAAATAAAAAAATCAGAATTAATGATAATGATTGATGATAAACTATTGCTGTGTGTGTGTCTGTGTGTAATATTATATATCTATATATATATATATAAACTGATTGTAGGTCAGCTGAGTCCAATCCAGTGACAGTTGTATTAAAAAGTGCTCTATACACAATACAATAACTTTGAATGTGCAGAGCTGTAAATATTAAGTTAGGAATCATGTAAATCTACTGCCTGATGAGAGCTTTATGGTTGAAACCATTGTAACGAGTGTGTAAGTGATTCCTAACTTCCAATATATATTGATGGGTATTTGTAGCAAATAGCAAATATACTACTGTTAAACAAGATTGTTGATTATTATTCTTATATCATCATGTGTGATGATAGTTTTTAATATTTTTCTTTTGCTTTTATTGACAGAATATTAATTGATGGTTACTAAAATGCCTTTCCCATTAATCAATATGACCGACTGTACTTCAGTAGTGGAAAAGAGAAGCATTTATCATTTGCTGATAGGGATGAATGTTAATTAGTTTGATGATGATAGATTTTTTCCTCCTTTTTTTCTTTTTTTTTTTTCTACTTATTTGATGTCTCATATCAAAATCTAATTTTCATTTGGTTCCTTTATTTATTTATTTTTTTCTGAAATATAAAATATTTCAACAGACCATTTTGAAAAATTGAAATAAGCGTTTTTTTTCTCCCAAGACTATGTGCATTTTTATTATTTTTGACACGGTATTTCAACTGATTCATTCTTCAGCCTGCCTCTGGTGATCTTTCGTGTTTCCTTACTTTTTTCTCTCAGTTTGGATACGATTGTTTAAAAGTAACAAGACTTTGTATTAATAACATTAGCATGAAAACAGATGATTTTGGAAGAGGAAATTGTCTTCTGATCAAGCACTCTAGCATTTTGTTTTAAGAGGTATGAATGAGCTTGTAGTGGCAGAGCCAAAGTTTGTATTTTTTCCTCTTCAAGTGGCCTTGCATTGACTCCTTAGGCTTTAATGGCTAAAATTAACTTTTACAGAGCACTAGTTTTCATGATATTTTCTTGAAGTTGGTCATGAATGTTTTGCTAGAAGTTTCTAAAAAAAAAAAAAAAAAAAAAAAAAAAACAAACTTAGTTGCACTAAATTATTTTTTGTTTTAAATTGGATTATTTTTATTTTTGAAATGACAATGAAACATTAATTATAAATAAAAGCAGTTGGTTTTGTTGCTAAATTCTGCTCATCAAAAGTCAAATGTTGGCAATATTTTTTTTTTTTTTTGCTGGGAGCCAATGAAGCAGATAATTTACCGCCACCATTTCTTACTCTATTCTATAATTTATAGTTTTGTTATGGTCTTCAATCAAACAATTCTTCACAGGAACCTTTTTTTTTCTTTTTTTTTCTTCTCTTTTTCTCAACCTTCTTGAAAGCAGGTAGATAAACCTCTTGTATTATATTTTTGAGGATCTTAAAGAAAAACAGCGAAATGCCTACACAGGTTGTAGATATTGAACTGCACAAAGATCAGTAAAGGTTCTTTGTTAAATTTATTTATTTTTTCTTTGGTTTGGACTCTGGACTCTTTCTGGACAGTTTAACCATAGCAATAAAAAAAATAATACCATAAGCTGACTGGGGAAGACACCAGATACTTGAAGACTGCTGAAGAGACATAATGTATGTCTCTAGACACACCCTTATTTATTCACAAAAAAAAAATTTTTGATAATGACTTATAAAAGTTATAAGCATTCAGATGCCATTGGGCAATCAGTGCTTAAACTATACCTCGAAACAAAGAAAATGGTTTGAAATAAATTCTTAAGCAAAACATTTTTTGTTGGTTTTTAACCAAACTGATCTAAACAGGAAATCGCTGACCAAACACACACACACACACACACACACACACTCTCTCTCATGTGTGCGTAGTTTCTTCCTCTTCCCAGACATGCTCTTATTATATGCAATTTTTTTTTTTTTTTTTTTTTTTTATAGTAAGGTCCACCCTGTACAAGGCCCGGAGGTCCACTTGAGGTAGAGGGCTACGTTAAGGGGTAGTTTATATGGATAGGAGGGAAAGGGAATAGCTAACTTTAGGCTTGAACAGGTTAAGATTGTAATGATTGGGGGAAACATCCACATGGGAGTCTGTTCCACAGGGCAATGGTTAGCAGTAAGAAGCTGTTCAAGTGGAACTTCTTGTCAATGGAATACAGAGGGAATGTGGGGAGTTTGCTACTATGTAAATGGCATGGTGGGTCCTAGCTGTGAAGGCTAGACCTGGAGGAACCAAGGAATGTAGTTTGTACCGAGTACTTCCCATTGAAGTAGTGATAAGGCAGTGAGAGCCTTGTCATATCCCACATGTGAGAGAAAGGGTGGAAAATAATTCTTCTCCAACAAGAACTTTGAGATGCTTTTTAACTCTATCAAGACTGGAAAGTGAAGATTGGGTAACTCCCGACCAAATATGGCAACAGTACTCTATTTTCGACCTGATCTGTCTCTTATAAAGGTAGAGGATGAAAGTTATTGCAAACTACAATATGGTTACCATTTTATCACTGAGTCTAATTAAAGCCCAATATCTTGTTAAGATATTTATCTGTTTTTAAAATAGATTAATCTTGTCAATAAAGCATTTAAATGTAATGTGCATGAAAAGTAAACAAAAGTGTTAAGGAAATTGAATATTTCATTGAGATGGCAAGTAGCATTATATAAACTCAGTCTATGACTTTTTATTATGTTAATTGTGAATTAATGTTGTTAGCAGTCTATTTATAATCTAATCAAGCATTCAGAGTGTTTGATTAATAAAGACAAGCTTCATTATTTTGTTTTTTTAATGAAAGGCAGGGATATTTTTCAGTCTTATCCTGTTTGAAGTTTACTTGACAACTTTTAAAAATGTCTTTACAAGAACCAAACTAATTTTGTAAGTAGTCTAATCGAGTATTCAGTGTTTCATCAAAAGATGACCATGCTTTAATAATTCTCTAAATATGTTTAAGATTTTAAAAAATATGCACTAAAATGAAATCTGAAATTTTAAGGTGAGATATTATGAGTCTCAGTGGTGTTTTTATCATGTTTTTAAGGATTATTTATAGTTTGATATTTTAAATATTATTGATGAAAAATAGACTGTATACAAACTTCATTTACTGAAATCAAAAGATTTAATTGTAAAAGTCATTTATCTTTGAAGATTTATTTCTTTTTATCATTTGTAATAAAAACTGCCATCTTCCAAATTATTAATGGCTTTCCCTTTGTAAAATGGCTTACAGCTATATCATGTTAAAAAACCATTCTTATTGAGGTTAAGTAATGTTGATTCTGGTCAGTACCTAGATGAGTGACCACTTGGGAATACCAGATGCTGTAAGCTTGGATGTGCATTTGGTATAATGGCTAACAATTTGGAATGAAAAATTTGAGAGCAGAGTTGCAATTCCAGTTGGTTTAATTTGTTTATTTTTGATTTAAAAAAAAAAAATAAAAAAATAAGAAGTGGAGAAGATTATATTTCCTTTACTTTCATTTGTATTACATTTTTATCTTCATTCAATCCATAGTGTAGTCTTGAATTAGTGTAGTTATTAGGGATGATGAATAATCCAGGAAGGTTTTGGCAATTTTGTTGCAAGAACTCTTATAACTTCTCCATGAACTAAAATAGTCAAAACGCAATTTTCAAATAAACTGTAGAACCAGTGCTCATGTTTTGTCTTTGTCAGTCAGTGTCAGAAAGCATTGCCCCCCCCCCCCAATCACCTCACCACCACAACTCTTGTATTTGTGGCTGGGTTGTTAAATTAGATGAGCATGAGAAACCATGTTCCCCAGTGTAAAGGGAACCATCAGAAACGGTGAGGTTTTGTTTCATTTATTTTTTAATTTATTAGTAGGACCGGAGAAAATGGATTTGTTATTTGAATTTTCTGATGACTCATAATTCTTAAGTCAATGATTAAATAAGCTCTTTGCAAGATCCATGACCTTAAAATACCTGTGGAAATTTCCATATTGGATAAATATTTGAACTTAACAGCTTTAACCAAATATTACAACAGCCATAAGTATGAATGCATGTCATTATTTAAAGAAGAGGATACAAATGAAAAATTCAAATTTAACAAGTTTTTCCATTTCACAAGTAGATGTTAAACACATGAGAGCATTATCGCCTACTCTATCTTCTCTCTTTTTCTTTTTATCAAAAAAAAACCAAAAGGTGTCTCTGATATGTCTTTTCTGTTTTTCCTCACAATCAAAACAGAATTATTTTTGAGGTATTGGTCAATGTGTAACATTAATGCTATTTAACGAATGGAGGAATGATCAGAATTATAATATGCTTCTAAATAACTTTTTATTTTTGATTATTTATGTTAAAATAAGACAAAAGAAACATTTCTTTTTGGTTGAAAATAATCTTGATGGTGAAATTTGGTGTTGTAACTAATTTAAATAACATTTAAAACCAAAGTGATTTAGTCATATGATTTATGATGATTTTTATTTTTTTCTCCAAGATAGTGTAGTGTTGATCTTAATGAACAGCACAGAATAAAAATGGGGAATAGTTCAAATCCTAGCTCAGGTAGTTTGTGCTTTTGGGAAAAGCATGAATCCACTTAACACTAGTAGGTTAGATCATAGATTACTCCCTTATGTTGGTACCATCTAACCTATCCAAGCTGAAAGATGGAGACTGTCAAGTACCTCACTACCACTCCTATTACAATGTGAAATCTCAGGAAGATCACATTCATGGGATATATTGTCATTGTATAATTTGAATTGAATTTTTTTAAAAGTTTTTTTTTTTTTTTTTCCAGAAACATTTGTTTTAAGGAAATAGAAAAAAATATAGTCAAATATTAAAAAACTTATTTTAACTTTCAAAGAATATACACACACATACATACATATCTGTGTGTCTAACATATTTTAGAGTGCACAGATCTTAAACAGAAATATTGACATAATCTTATATTTTTTATGGGTACTATGCTAG